GAATCAGAGACAGCAATGACGGTTGAGGTGGCGGTTGCTGTTGATTGACAGGAGACTTCCGGTTCAGCAGCAGCTACCTGGGAGGTAGCAAAGGAATTCACCTCAGAGGTAACTGAGGCCTTGCCCAGAGAGGAGACCTCCAGCACGGCAGTGACTTCTGCGGCAGCCCAGAAAGAAGTCCTCCAGGTGATGTTAGGCTGGCGGCAGCGGAATCAGAGACAGCAATGGCGGTTGCCATGGCGGTTGCGGTTGATTGACAGGAGACTTCCGGTTCAGCAGCAACTACCTCGGAGGTAGCAAAGGAATTCACTTCAGAGGTACCTGAGGCCTTGCCCAGGGAAGAGACCTTCTGGAATGTCAGTAACTTCTGTGGTAGTCCAGAAAGAAGTCCTCCAGGTGATCTTAGGCTGGAGGCAGCGGAATCAGAGACAGCAATGGCGGTTGCGGTGGTGGTTGCGGTTGATTGACAGGAGACTTCCGTTTCAGCAGCAGCTACCTCGGAGGTAGCAAAGGAATTCACCTCAGAGGTAATTGAGGCCTTGCACAGAGAGGAGACCTCTGGGAATGTCAGTGACTTCTGTGGTAGCCCAGAAAAAAGACGTCCAGGTGGTCTCAGGCTGGCAGCTGCAGAATCAGAGGCAACAATGCTGAGGGCGGCGGTTGATAGACAGGAGACTTCCGGTTCAGCGGCTAATTTTTAATTTTTCTTAATTAATTACATTTTCTATACTTTGTGTAGTTTGTTTTTTATTTAAATATGTCTTAAATAATTTATTTATATAATTTATTGTAGATAGAATGCATATTTGCCATTCTTATAATAAATTTAGATTTTTTTTTGTTAAATGTACTACTATTTAATTTCAATGATTTAAAAAAAATACGACAAATTCTGAACCTGTTTTTATTTTTTAGTGCATTCTAGTTATAAATAATGGTGGGGTCATGGTTAACATTTTCATAAATACACGTAGTTTTCTTCATTTCAATACTCAGTACTCCCTCTTTTCATGCTTTCTTCTGTCCCCTTAGTCCCAAGGCACCCTGGAGCCCAACTCCCATGAGCGAGGGAGTGAATGCATGGGTGCACAGCTGCTGGAAGACGTACCTGGATTTCATTAACCATTCCAAGCCTAGACCTGCTCTTCTTGTTCCTCTCTGCTCCTCCTCTTTTGCTAGAGTGTAGCTGTAATGGACTGGAAGCCATGGCTGCAGTTAACTGGAGGATTGGTCCTCTGTGAAAGGAGGCAATGAGCAGAGCAGCGATGTAGGAATGGTAGAAACTTTAGAATCAGCTTTGGTTCCAAACTTGACTTGGCTGCCCTTCACTGTGTGACCTTGATCCCATTATATTTTTCCTGAATTGAATTCTCTCATCCTAAAAACCTAGCAAAAGCAAACCTCAGGGGTACTGGTAAGG